CCCGCAGGATCCGAGCAAGATCTACATTTAGATACGAGGGCAGAGTACAGACATGCAGGGATTGAGCAAAGCTTAGAGTCGGTTGGAGTTTGTGTGTTTGTGTGTGCACTCGTGTGTGTGTGTGTGTGTGTGTGGTGAAAGTTCCCCAGCAGAGACAACATTTCATCCCCTGGAGCATATCTCACATGGTAATAATTCGGCCCAGTGCTGCTGAAAACGCACACAAATATAATCTATGTATAATGCCAACATGCTCAAAAATCTGCCTGTGCTGAACAGACATTTAGGGTATAAACAAGCATGCCACTTTGCATGCATATATATATATATATTACCTTCTACTATGTTCTGTGTCGTTACGCATAAAGTCACATATATTTCATGCACACACAGAGTGAACGCCTCGGTCCTGCCCTCTAAAAGCCACATTCATTGACAAACCAGACTTGCTCTCTCTCTCTCTCCATCTTTTCCTCTCTTCATCACACATGTTTCTTGTGCTTCCTCATGTAATAGTGTTGTAATGGTGTGTAATTGCTGCTTTGCCACAGCAATCTACTGCAGCAAATGAGACCGCATCTGAACACAACAGAATAGAGCAGCAGGCGGCCGGCTAACCACCGAGATTTTCTGCTGTTTCCTGTTTTTCAGAGATAAGTAGATAAAATAACCCGAAAAAGAAACAGATAAGATTGACTGATGGAACGGGGCTATTGGTCTTCTTCTGGGACTCAAAAAAAAAGTTTTAAATGTTGTACTGGATGGATGTTGGTGGAATTTATTCAGGAGAAACCTTGTTTCCATGAAAGTTTGACGTCTTCACTGCTTCCTCGTTAACACATCTACTTTTTTTCTTTTTCGGCTGCGTATGTTTTATTTAACTCCCTAGTCCTGCGGCCCCGGGCCTTTAAACACACGGCGCACAGTATTAGCCTTCATTTTAAGGAAATACTTAAAGGCACGTACCGAGGTAGGAGGGCAAAGAGTACACGCTGTGTTGGGCATGAACTGTCGACTTTAATGCTATGTGACGGCTTTACCACAGAGGTCAATTGTGGTTTTAAGAAAACCTCAGCCAACCAGAACAGTAATATGGCTACTTACTGGCCACAGAGACGTTGCCCCCATTTTTATGTATATAAATAGATGAGACTTTTCTTTCCTTCCCACAGTTACAAACACACACTGCGTTTGTGAACCTATTCACACTTGAGGCGGCGCAGGAAGTGATCTGGAGGTGGCTGTTTTGTGAAAGGACAGATTTCACCATTTGAGTGCAAAACTGATCAAAATAGCAGCGTAATGAGTACGTTGCTCGCCAAAGCTCACTAATTAACATGTATTTTCTCTACTGGTGTGAGGGTGAGTCGCACGCTGTCTGTTGCTTGACAAACAATATCCATGCAGCACCTTTGTGAAGCATTTTGGATCAGTGCACAAGTTTAGTACCGCTCGTTGTACCTTCCCAGTGGTGTCAAACCATGCAACCTGGTGCTGGTTTTTGTGATTTTTGGATGAAGCCAGGGCTGCAAGGTGGTGCAGTTGGCAGCACTGTTGCCTCGCAGCAAGAAGGTTGCCGGACACCTGGGATCCTTCTGTGTGGAGTTTGCATGTTCTCCCCGTGCAGCGTGGGTTCTCTCCGGGTTCTCCAGCTTCCTCCTACACAGTCCAAAAACATGTTGAGGTTAGTTGGTGATTCTAAATTGTCCGTAGGTGTGAATGTGAGTGTGCTTGGTTGTCTGTCTCTAAGTGTAGCCCTGTGATAGACTGGTGACCTGTCCAGGTGAACCTGCCTTCACCCTGAGTCAGCTGGAATAGACTCTAGCACCCCCGTGACCCTAGTGAGGATTAAGCGGTGTAAAGATGATGGATGAAGCCATATTTTCACTCCTGTCTCCTGTCTGTATGCAAACCACCGCACAGCTTCACGTCTGTACTTAAAGGAAAAATATTTCTTTCATTTCTGAGACATGAGGGTGCAATGAGCCGCTTCATCAGCTCTGGAAAAGAAAGTGACAAAAGTACACGCACCCTGTAACATCATTTAAGCTCATTTGACTTCAATCATTGGTTCAAAGTCATGTCATGAGTAGAGAAAGTATAAAACTAGCCGAGATAAATTAAATGAACTTGTCACAGAGAGCAGTTACAGACGGGCTGACATTCCTTTTACATTTTCTAACTCTAAACAGTTCTTCAAGCATTTACAGCCTCGACTGTTGAAGCAGGAGTTAGAGGATGCAGGGACTGAATATCATACTTAATATACTATTGTTGTGATTATTTTTAAAAGAAATAACCATAACCTAGCATGTATCACAGACACACAGCAAAAGTCCCTGAGAAGTTCTAACTCTCTCGCCGTGCATCATGGGAACTCTGCTTATATGCAAGTTTTGTTAATTATAAACTTAACAAACTCCTTGTTGTTCATTCATTCATTCAGCTCATCATTTCAAGTCAAAGTGCCTGAAGTTATAAAAACTTTTAAGCTCTAAACGGGTTGAAATTAAAAAACTAAATTCATTTTAAGTCCAATTAACACGAATGGAGCTAAAATCAGATGCTTACACCAAGTCAACTAGAAAAGATTTGTCTTTCTTCTTTCTTTATGATGCTTTACAGAGTATTTGCTTTTCCCTGACTAACCCTTAATCAGTTTATTGCTGATGTGCTGCATAGACGGTAAAAGTGAAGGCTGCAAAAATGAAGCAGCAGCTTAGATGAAGCAATCTGAGCAGAGGGGATGGAAAAGATACTGGACAGAAGGCAGACAGAACGCTCTCGCTCTCCTTCAAAAAGAGTGCAGAATATAATTGATCGCACATCTGTTGCGTGCACACATTTGACATTTAAATGATCGTCATCTGAATATTCTCAACTCAAATGTCAAACGACGAACACAACAAACATCCCCGAGCCTTGACATTGTCAGAGATTTCAAATAGTAATTGAAACTAACTCCTAAGATGGAAAACACATTTTCCACAACTAAGACAAGCTGCCACGGTTGACGGACAATGTTGTGTTGACAAAGGCTCTCTGGTCTCTAGCAACCTATATTCTTAGCGTCATTCAAACTATAGGCACAAACCCATAAAGCAACAATGCAAAAACACCCCCACAGCTAATAGTACTTGCGAGCTAGGTGGTGTGTGTGCTTAAGCTGCCATGCATTTTTTCCCATCTTTTCAAGCTATATGTGTGTGTTTATGTGTCACACAGAGGGTTATAAAAATGCTTTATGGCATCCCCTGAAACACTGACCTTTACAGAAAGCCGCTGATCGGTTCAAAACAACATGATATACTGTGCTCGTGCGAGTGGGTGAACATGTGTGTGCATTTACTCCTGTGCGCACTCTCGTGTTTTCATGTGGTTATGTGTGCACATGGTTACACACACATGTGCATGTGTGTGTGCGTGCGTCATGATGTACAGCCAGCAACATTCTATCCCACCAGCCATCATTAACTCTGATGCACAGCCAAATGTCGTTATGTATGGTCGGCTGCATGATTTACTGTTAGACACATAATGGACTGGCTACTGTAATGAACTTGCGGAGTGTTTGATGTACGGGTCTCTGCTGGAGGGAGAGAAGTAAATACTACGACCGTGATGGCAGCGATTACAGTGATGATGATGATGAAATTTCTCTCCTCACTTACAGATGCTGGTGCAATTTCTGGAGGGAGAGGAGGAGCAAAAGAAAAAAAAAACCCCGGGAGGACAAAAAGGAGGAGGAGGAGGAGATGGAGAAAGCCGCTTGAGTAGATGAAGGAAGAGGAAACGGAGAGGAGGGAAAGGAAGGAGAGCAATTATGTGCTGCTGCTGAAGCAAACTTTGATGTTTTGACAGTCAGCCACTGCTGGAGGGAGACAGTGTTGGTGATGATGATAATGAATGGTGATGACACTGATGATGGAGAAGTTCACACAGTCTTTAAAGCCTTTTATTACCGAAGATCTGTCGAGCCACTGGGTGTCGAACTAGGTCAACCCTCCGCCCCGACACCCCCGGCGTCCTTGAGCTGTGCAGTTCAGCTGCCGACTTTGTGCTCTTGATCTCCGTGAAAAGGGGTGTAAGTGGAAATAAAAGAGAGAGGAAAAAAAAATCTGTTTGCAAGATCAAATAGTGTTATTATGTCACCCAAATTATGCAGATGAATGGAACGGGAAGGAGGAAGTCGCAGGTGAGCATTTTGGAGGATAATTGAGGAGGGGAGGGGACGGAAGGAAGGAAGATGGGGAGAAAATGGAGCAGGACTGATGAGCGCTAGGAAAACGTCAAGAATAGTAACTGGGAGGTAATTTGGGGTAAAACATATACTATGTGACAGAAACACCTGAATGTGTTTTATATGGTGCTTTTGTATTTGTGCATCCATCCTTTGTTTTACAATGAAAACATGCATATGCACTGATAATTATAAATGATATTACACAGCTCACAATGACAGATCTTACTCTTTTCTTTCCCCTTTCAAAGCCACAATCCAGCGATGCATCGTCCCAAACACAGTCTGACTTTGCCCCCTAATGGCGCACAGCCTAAACTACCTCAATGAGCAACTTTCACATCATTGTTCAGCTGCGCTTCACTGAAATCACTGACTTAGCTGCAAGAAAGACAAGACAAATATTATAATACGTCTAATAACCCTACTGTACGTCTGGATGCAGGCATAGTAAGAGACACACAAGCTGAAAACCACTCAGAGTTCAGGTGGAAACAACAATCTATCCTCCTATTTAACCCCAACCAGTGGAGGCAGACAGCAGTCCTGCCTGAGCCCAGTTCTGTCGACGTTTTTCTTCATATTAAAAGGGAGTGTATTCTTCTTCTTCTTGGATTTCTTGCCAGAATAAAACATTGTAAGGTCTTGATCTTACTGTGTGAAGTTCTCTGACATGACTTGTGTTGTGAATCTGCACCATCTAAATAGAACTGAACTAAAATCAACTGAAAAAAAGTTGAATCATAAGACGTGAAGATTATTCGTTTAAATAACCTTTTATTGCACAATGTATGCCAAGCACTACAAAAAATGACAAAGCAGGAGCACCAAGAGATACCTCGTGTATTCAGTATCGTCCATAACAACAGAATGTAAAGTTGAACCTTCTTTGACTCAGCAGCATTGGATATACAAAGAGTAATAATGCAGACTTAATCTCCAGTTTCTTTGGAGCGTTTCAGTGCTATCTGATTAAATCTAGTTTATTTTGATTTAATTTCACTATGTTACGAGTGTTTTTGATTGTCAATTTACTATTTCATTTAACAATATGGACTTTTTGCTTTAAGTCTGCTGCTATTTACAATACCATGAATTGTTTTGTGCAATGTTGGTCAAGTAAACCTAAAATTACCTAAAAACAAACAACAAAAACAACAGCATGGCAAAATTATTATCTATTCATAGCATATCACTGAATTCTCTTAACTTTTGAAAATCCATTTTAAAAAAAGCCCTTTTTCTGGTGGATTTTCTCTTTTTTTTTGGTCTTTACGTCGTGTCCTCTTTGCACCCACAGAAGGGAAACGTCCCACAGCAGGGCTGAAGCCAGGGTCTCCACAGAATCTTGTTCCAAGTCATCTGGCCTTCAACACCCTGAGCAGCTGTGCTGGAGTGTGAGCGAGCGTCATCAGATGCCTGTTCGTTTGCGAGGGTGCTTTTATGTCTCTCCACAGCTTTGGCAGTCTGCTCAAGTATTTCAGCGTATCGCGGCTCAGTATCGGGGGTCAGCGGGCGAGACTCGGACGGATCACGGAAAAGGTCATACACCAGAGGCGGGGTGTGGTGCGTCACGTGTTCACCGTGGCAAAGGCAAACGCCAGTGTCATAGCATCCACCGGCTCCCGGGGGAGAAAAGTTGGGAGTGAAAAAGTGCACCTTGAAGACGGAGTCACCTGGACGGAAACAGACGACCAGTGAACACGCGCACTCAGTATCAAGAGGCAAGAAAATCATCTGCAGTTATGTGTAAATTAATGTTAAAATGTGGTCAAATCTTAATCTTACTTACAATTGTGATCTATGAATGAAATGAAACCAGACTGCAGGTGTGGGTTGGAAGTATTTCGACTTATAAAAACACTAAAGGCCCCATTTAAACGTAGCAAAAATGGTGATATTTTAATGCGTTTGGGCCTTTGGTTTACACGTAAACGAAGCTACAGGTCACCGAAAATGATCATATCTGAAAACCGAAGTGGAGATTTGGAAAGACTCTGTCTTTATGTTTGCATGTAGACGGGAGGAGACGGAGTTTGACGTCACAGAATGCGACAGAAGCATCATACGTGTGCGACCATGTTTACAGTTTGGCTGCTGTGATAGAAAGTCAATATTTTCAAGTATTTTACTTGTTTTGTTCTCTAACACCACATGTAGGAGTAGCTCCACTTCTCGTTCAGTCCAAAACTAACAACCCTCGCACATGTTTTTTCCAGGATTCTGATTGGCTAGCATGGCTTTATGCCTCTCGTTACACTGCCCCCTATAGGTTTGTCATGCTCATAGCAGCTCTTAATGATGTGTTTATGCGGGTTTGTCTAAACTAATATTTTTTTGAATATGATCTGGTGTGAACAATGTTATCTTTGAAAACGTAGATCTGTTTTTGTAAATACCCGGCCATGTGTAAACGTAACCTAAAACACTTTGAGTTTGCACTTGCCATGCTTCACACAAAAGGCATCTCAGAAGACGTACCATCAATTAATACCATAAAGCTTGACTGGGTTACAGAGTTTAGATATGAATCAGTCCACAGTTTAACATCCATAAATGGAGATGGTTTACTACTGTGGCAACTCTCCTTAAAAGTGGTCGCTCAGCTACAAACACAGTGCAGAATGCCAAACAAGGTACAAAAAAAAATACAAGGCCAGAGTAACAGATGAAAGTTTAAAGGAATCGCTGAAGCTGGTGAATATCTCT